TATATATATATATATATATATATATATGTTTTTATTGATTTCAGAGAGGAAAGGAGAGAGAGAGAGAGAGAGAGAGAGAGAGAAACATCAATGATGAGAGAGAATCACCGATCAGCTGCCTCCTGCAGGCTTCCCACTGGAGATCACGCCCACAACCCAGGCACATGCCCTTGACCAGAATTGAACCCGAGTCCGCAGGCCAATGCTGTATCCACTGAGCCAAACTGGCTAGGGCTGCAGGAAAGTTTTAATTACAGATTCAATGTATTTAACATACATGACACTTCAGGTTCATATTTCACCCACGTGAGTGAAATCATACGGTTCTTGTCCTTTTCTTTCTGACTTTGTTCACTTAGCGTGATACACTGCAGATCCATCCATGTTGTGGCAAATGGCAGTATTTCATGTTTTATAGCTGAGAAATATTCTGTTTGTATAGTTACCACATCTTTATCCAATTATCGGTTCAAGGACACTTAGGTTGTTTCTGTGTTCCACTTCATAGGTTTGATGTATGATATTTATATTATCATTCACTTAAAGCATTCTCTCACTTCTGTTTTGTTCTAAGTTCACACATTGATTATTGAGAAGTCTTGCTTTGATTCCAAAATGTAGGCATATTGCTTATAGAACCGGGTGACTCCCAGAGGGTCCCAGGAGCTGCCGCGGGAGCATGTCTGGTCTCCAGGCTGGCTGGGGTCACTAGCTGAATGTCCATGGGGGAAGTTCCCATGCCTTCTGGGGTCCCTGCAGGCCCCCTCCCTGGAGCGTGGGGTCTGGGTCCTTCCTGGGCTAGTGTATGGCTAGAGTAGCGTACAAGCTGGGCTCTTCTCGGGGCTCCTCAGATGGGGAGGATGGGGGTGCACTTGTCTGCCGTCTAAGGGCCAAGAGGTTCAGCTGGGCGTAGGTCACATCCTGGGGGGCGTCAGGTGCAGCCTGGAGCAGGGGGGAGAGAGAGGGATGACACTTGGTTGGGGTTGGGGAAACCTGGAGGTCTGCAGAGAATGGGACTCACCTGACTGTCCATCTGTCTGTCCTCTTCTGCTTGTCTGCCCTTTGTGTCCAGCAATTCCTCCGACAGGGAGGAAGGAGAGGTGGCCATTCCCTGCCTGGGTCTTGGTCTTGAGTGTTTCACCTGGGCGTACGTCACTCCCTGGGGGTCTTCATCCTGCCTGTTCTGCTGGAGACAGTGCCTCCTGTCAAGTATCCACATGTTGCCAGAGAGATGATTTACACTTTAAATAGATGAGGTCCCTCTCCTGGTGGAATCTGCAGGGCCTTCCCGAGCCCTGGGGCCTCTGGATGCTTCTATGGTTCTGACTCTTATCGTAACCCGCTCTCTCTTGCTCAATGGGCTCCAGCCTCATGGCCCATCTTCCTGAAGAAGCATGCCCTGCCTCAGGACCTTTGCACCCGCTCTTTCCCTGTCCCCCCACCATGCACTCTATCCCCTCCTCTTGCTTTATGTTCCTTCACAGCAATTTGCTCTCTGGGACACTGTCTGCTTGTTTGCATATTGGCTCCCTCACCCACAGGGGAGCTCAAGGCGTGTGGAGACAGTGTGGCTCAGGGTTGCACCGTGGGCCCTAAATAGAGCCAGGAAACAGCCCTGTCACATCTGCTGGGTGAATGAATGAAGGGGATCGAGGGGGCCTGTGGGTGAGTCACTCATTCCTGCCTCCTCCTGAGACCTGGGACTGCACAAGGTCAGACAGAGGACGAGGGGGCCAGCACAGGGGGACTATGTAGGAGGGGCCATGGGGTCACAAGGAAACCAGGAGGAGTGAGTCACAGCAGGATGACCTGGGGGCCCAGAGGGGAGGTCAGTGTGGACGCTGCTGAGAAGCAGGTGAGGTGGGACAGGGAAAGGGTCCATTGGATTAAACTGGGCAACAGAAAGGTCCTTGGTGGCCTGGACAGGAGCAGGGGTCTCACCCGAGGGTCCAGCTCCAGGCTCTTCCCAGGTTGGGGGTCCTTCATGGCAGCA